CAAGGGAGAAGAGCATGAGCGGGATGTGGAACCCTATCCAGAGAAGCAACACCACCAGTGATGGAGGTAGAGAAGGGAACATGGAGAGAGGGAGCAACTGAGGACTCTAGATTCCTGGAAAGAGAAAGACTGTGTGCTGGTGGCCAGGAGGCAGGATTGCAGAATGTGCCCTTTGTTATTTAAATGATTATATATTCCTGAGTGTTTTTGTGTACATCTCCTCAACCACCCCTAAAAAAAAAAAAAAGAAGAAGCAAGGACTGGTGGATGATGATGCAGGGAGGGGATTGTAATCTTTGCAGTGAAACAATGAGTGTAAAACCGATGTTCTCCCATGTAAACTATCACTCAATTCACAATAAGAACTTAAAAAAAAAAATCCTATACAGGCTAGCTATGAGTCAGAGTGGTGGTGGTACTAAAGGAAAAAGAAGAAGGTGCACTGAAGGTATTGGTAAAGAACAAGGCTCCAGGAATTGATGGAATACACATTAAAATCATTCAGTAAACTAATGTAGCACTACAGGCACTCACTCATCTATGCCAAGAAATTTGGAAAACAGCTACCTGGCCAACTGATTGGAAGGATCCATATTGCACCCATCCCAAAGAAAGGTGATCCAACAAAATGCAAAATCATGGGACAGTATCATTGATACCACATGCAAGTAAAATTATGTTTAAAATAATTCGAAAATGGCTGCAACAGTATATTCACAGGGAACTGTCAGAGATTCAAGCCAGGTTCAGATAAGGATGTGAAACAAGGAATATAATTGTTGACATCAGATGGATCTTGGCTGAAGCAGAGAACACCAGCAAGATGCTTACCTGTGCTTTGACTATGCAAAGGCTTTTGACTGTGTACATCATGACAAGCTATGGACAACGTTGGCAAGAATGAGTATTCTGGAACACTTACTTGTGCTCATGAGGAACCTGTACAAAGGCCAAGAAGAAGCAATCATTCAAACAGAACAAGGGGCACTGAATGAATGCTTTAAAATCAGGAAAGATGTGCACCATGGTTGTATTCTTTCACCATACCTATTCAAACTGTA